CCTGATCTATACCATAGCTCTTTCCTGCATTAGTGTTAACTCAATGCCACACAGTAGCTGCCATTGTTTTGGACACACTACAAAAAGCTTCTTTTGCCACACGATGCCTCTTCCTCAGGAAAAATGTTTAGCTTTATGAAAAAGTCACAGACTGTGTTTGGTGCACTAGAGGAAAAAGCAAGCTTTTTAAATTTATATAACATGATCAAAGGGAGAAAATCTTTTAATTTGCAGCTAAATATTGTCATCTTGTTAACAAAACAACTCATGTACAAATTCAAAATGTTACATGCAGTTTCAGCTGGATGTGTTTAAGGTAAAGTGCATATCCCAAATTGTTTTTTATAGTTCCCCCCTGGGCAGTGCAGTTTGAGTTTTACTTGACTAGAGATATTGCACGGTTGTCCTGGGCTCTCAGCCAATAAGAATTTTCCCAGCCCGATCATGTCAGTGAAAGTCATACTGAAAAATAGTAGGAAGAAGCTTTCCTTCCTGCATAGCATTGATCCAGTTAACACCCTTCCTAGAGTTTCTTTAAAAAGACCATTGTGACTACTTAGTGGTGGAAAAAAAAAGGTATCTTGCACGCTAAGAGATGTCCTGTTATTTTTAAAAGAAAAGCACACATATTCTTAGCTAAGGAAAACTATACAGCAAGTACGGTGTGCCCACCCCATGGTTATCAGTGTTCCTTAAAATTTCAAGCAGCTAGGAGATATAATTTCTTAGTTCACTGTTCAGTGAAGTCACATTTATACCAAATAATTGCTCTAGAATTTTGGTTCTCACCCAATGTCCCCTTATAGATGCGTGGCAAGCACCTGTCTTTTTTCAAACCAACAGTTCTATGTGCTTACAGAAAGGCTGCAGCCCATTCACAGAGGATGCAAAAAGTACCAAGTTTAAAATGTGACATCTTCACAACTCTATGGTATGCACATTAGATTTGTTTGGTTTTCAGAGCCACCTTACTTGGCACCACTGAAAGTTACAGTTATTTCGCTAGTCATGAGATAATCAAACCTCCCCCATGCACAGGGAGACTACCACATGGTCCTTTGGATCCAATTCTTCATTTGTTCACAGATTCTCCGAAAGAAACTTAGGTATTCTTAATAGAAGGATTTGAACCCAGACCTCCTAAGACCTGGTTAGTCACTCTATCCACTACATCAGTGGTTCTTAACCTTTGTTACTCGGATGTTTTTGAACTGCAACTCCCAGAAACCCCAGCCAGCACAGTTGGTGGTGAAGGCTTTTGGGAGTTGCAGTCCAAAACTCCTGAGTAACCCAAGGTTAAGAACCAGTGCACTACATCACACTGAGTATCACTGAATTAAGGTTATCTCCTATTAGTTCACATACACGAAGCCAGGAAATTAGAAGTTAAGGCTGCATGATCAGGAATGATGGAGTACAATATCACAAATTGAGCTTGCTTACAACTTTCCATTCTGTATCTATACCATGCCATAAAGATTTAAATTCCAATTCTATGTGGGAGAAAACAGAGTGCTTGGGACCAGCAAAGATGCCTCCTTCGTCCTGGTCCTGTAATGCCTTATGAAGCATGTATGTCTCAATGCACTGTAGGAGAAATCCTAATATGAGTTGCATCCATGTGTCTTCGTTGCTTACTTTAATGCCTGGCAGGATGGGTTTCACAGAAGAAGATAAGGATAAGGTGAGAGTAGTATTTGCTGCAGATGGACCAGTTTCCTTGGAGAATGCAGCACTGAAGGCTTTCTGGAAAAATCCAAAGCTATACCTAAGAAAAACCTAACCTCTTATCAACTAATGGATCCCATTTGATTGCTTTCACAGCCTTCCTCCTCAACTAAATCTTAAGACACCATGCAGACTACATGAACTTTCCCCTTCCTTTTTATTTTTTGCACCATCTTGCTTGATAGGAGGATTATATATATATATATTCACCCAAGTTATGCCCCATGATTCTCCCAGTAAAAAATTTCAAGATCGCTTACAGAATAAAATACAATACATTACAATATTAATAATTAATTAAATATATGATCATATTAAAACAGCCACTGCATTGGAAAGAAGTAAAACAATTTAAAAGCAAACCAGAAGAAGTTAACAGGTCACCAACCCTCATTAAAGCTCCTTCATTGGCAGCTAAGCAGTTGCTAAAAGAAATAGAAAGATCTTCACTTTCTGACAGAAGAATAAAAGGGAGATGGCCAGCCTGGTTTCCCTTAGGACATAGGTTGGGGAACTGGGGTAAATTACCCCAAATGGGGTAAAAGTGAAAATCCTGGGGGTAATGAGCAGGCTGGCAATCTTAATTGCAGCTTGGGCTTCCTCTAGTCCGGCCTTTCACATGATGTATCCTGCATTTAAATTAAATAAGCAGGGGGACAATATACAGCCTTGTCGTAATCCTTTCCCAATTTTGAACTAATCAGTTGTTCCATATCCAGTTCTAACTGTTGCTTCCTGTCCCACGTATAGGTTTCTCAGGAGATAGATAAGGTGGTCAGGTACTCCCATTTCTTTAAGGACTTGCCATAGTTTGCTGTGGTCCACACAGTGAAAGGCTTTTGCATAGTCAATGAAGCAGAAGTAATGTTTTTCTGGAACTCTCTGGCTTTATCCATAATCAGCACATGTTAGCAATTTGGTCTCTAGTTCCTCTGCCCCTTCGAAATCCAGCTTGTACTTCTGGGAGTTCTTGGTCAACGTACTGCTGAAGCCTGCCTTGTAGGATTTTGAGCATAACCTTGCTAGTGTGTGAAATGAGTGCAATTGTATGGTAGTTGGAGCATTCTTTGGTACTTCCCTTCTTTGGGATTGGCATGTAAACTGATCTTTTCCAATCCTCTGGCCACTGCTGAGTTTTCCATTGATGATGATAAAAAAAACACACTGGTCCTTTAATATTGGGCTGTGGCACCAGGGTGGGGGACATGACCTTTAGCCTGGTTTGTTCCTCTTTGCACACCACACATAGAATGATTAAAGTGGTAGGGAAAGCCCACCCCAATTCCGCGTTGCCTGTCTCTAGCAAGCATGTCATTGCTAGAACCACTCTGGCAGCCACCTCTGCGAGCTAGCAAAAATTTATTGCTAATTGCTAAGCACGTTGGACACCTTAGTACTCCCTATACCGCACCATGGCTGGAGTGCAATGTGTTCCAGCAAAAATAGTGCACATCTTTATCAAATTTGGTGCATCCTACTAGTTCAATACACAGCCTGTGTATGATTTCCTTCCTTTTGAATCAAGGGGGTAATGTCGGCGTATATAAATTTTTTGTGGGGTAAAAGGTAAAAAAGTTCCCAGACCCCTGTCTTAGGAGGATGTTTACAGTCACTAAAAAGACCCTCTTGTGTCTACAACAGGGGCTTGTGTGAGGTAGTAGGTCCAATTGATAGCCCTCCACTGAAAATCATGAGACCCAGGGAGGTTCATACTGTATAAGAAAATCTGGTATTTCAAATAGCC